TGAAGTACATTTATAGTAATTGTCCAAGAGGTAGACTTCTAAGCAAATTTTCTATCGAGTTTTTTCCTTGATTCATTGTTTTCCACAAAAGGTAGCTTCAAGAAATTTATCTATCTCAGAAATCCAAGTGAAATATTTTAATTTTTCTTTCCCTAGTTGTGAATTAGAGTCCATCTAGAACAGAGAAGAATACATTGCACAACCATTATCACAACGCTCTAAACTGAAATAAAACTCCTAACTTGACTCTAACTCTAATATATAATACTTCTCTCTAACATTATACTAATAACAACTAATTAATCATCACTAAATATAAAACAAAAATTAGAAAAATGTAATTAGATAGAAACAATAGAAAAGGAGAAATATAGCTTCATAAGCTAAAAATCTAATTTATGCAACAGGTGATTAAAACTAATTCAGCTTCATAATATTGACCCTAAAAGTTACACCTCTTTTTATAATAGAGAAACATAGCTCCAACTAGACTATCCCTAAATGTATTCCACTCATTTGTGACTTGAACAATTATAATTCGATCTGGGTGTTGAGTCTCTCCCTCATTATTCTCTTTCTTTTCCATTACAATCATCACCATGTGGAGTAGCTCCAGTTTGAATATCAGCATCAACTTCATCCAGTAACGAATCATTAGGTGCTTCTATTTAAATAAGATTGTGATGTATTGCACAATCATGGTTGATCTTCACGTGCGTTAGAGCATCAAAATTAAAAAAGAAACTTCTTCAAGAATTCTCCCTCACTTCTTGAATAGTCCAAAAGCTCTTCCAATCACATTCCTAGCAGTTGCATGTCTTAGCTAGCTTGTATAACACTGGATTTTTTGTATTGTTTCCTATTATGAACCATTCACTAAGATGATTTCGAATACCTCTCTAAGAAGCTAGAAAGCCAGATCCATTGGTATATCCCGCATCTACCAGAAAATATTTGTCTACGTGATAAAAAGTGGAATTTGATTATCACTTTAGGCTTCAAAAATATAACAAAGAAAAAATACCTAACCATAACATGCCCTTGGAAACTATGAATGGATCTTTTCTATTAAGTGCATCTTGTAATAATATGTTATCTGTTGCACATCCTTCCCATCCCGATAAAATATAAGTAAACCTCAAGTCATGAGAACACACAGCTAAGACATTGGTTGTCATCCTACCCTTCCTATTTATGTATTTTCTTTGATCTTTCAATTAAACACTTACTTCAATGTGTGTTCAATCAAGTGCTCCAAGACAATTCTACATCACAAAAGTACTACTTTATAAATATAATGTTAAAACTGATTCACACAAAAATAAATATACGAAAAATAATATTTACTTCAAACCAATCTCGTTTTTCATCCACAAAGACTTCTATGGCTATTTCTTGTTGGACAATATATTGTCTTTCTAATTTTTGTATAGTATTTAATACTACATAAAGTATTGATTAACAGTCTCTCTCGATCTTATGAAATCAAAACTGACTTACGGTTTGTTAAATTGAAAGAGATTACATATTAAAAAATGGAAACTACTTCTTCAACTGTGATATTTTTTAGTTTTTCAATCCAAACTCTTTTAGCTTGGAACACAACAAGCAATGCCTAGTCATGCTAAGTTGATCCTTACGACTTTAGTCACTCCATAATAGAGCCGCCTTATATATAGTTCCTGTGCTAAGCCAAAGTCAAGACTGAGTTCTTTCACATCAAGCGTTCTTCATGGCATTGACCGACTACAACAACAACAACCCAGTTGAACCCCACTACAGTAGGGTCTAGGGAGGGTGTGTGTACGCAGACCTTGCCCCTACTCGGAAGTAGGGAGGCTGTATCCAAGAGACCCCTGGCTCCAACTACACAAAAAAATGATAGGAATCACAGTATAACACAGATAAAGCACCAAGTACAATGGAATGAAAGTCTTGCAAGCAATAGCAAAAAAATTCCAACCAAACAAAACGCACTACAAAAAGCCTCTAAAGCACCGGGCCCCTATGCAGCTATTCTAATCCTAGTTCTCCAAAAGTTCCTATCTAAATCCATATCCTCAGTCAGGGCGAGAAGTCCTAAATCTTGCCTAATCACCTCCTTCCAATTCTTCTTAGACCCCTTCCCCTACTTCCTCCGACAACTGTAATCCTCTCGCATCTCCGTACAGGGGCGTCAGCATTCCTCCAGCTTACATGACCAAACCATCTCAACCTCGCTTCCCACAGTTTATCTTCCACTGGCGCCCTGCCTGCCTGACGTCAGATAACTTTGTTCGAAATCCTATCCAACCTTGTCTTCCCACACATTCATCGTAACATCCGCATCTCCGCCGCATGCAGCCGACGCACATGAGTCTTTTTAACCTCCCAACACACTGCCCCATATAACATAGCAGATCTGACTACGGACCGGTAGAACTTACCTTTCATCCTGGGTGAAATCTTCGGATCACACAACACCAAAGTGAGTGAATATCTTACAAAAAGAACTTTCTTATTCATTTCATTCACCGAAGTGAGACACATGTATATCCATGTACCTAAAAGAGAAAAAGAAATCAAGACTTCAAGAAAAAAGAACTTAAAAATTAATGTCTACGATGTTTTTGACCCAATGAAAGCTATATCATAACCTATCCACATCAAACAAACAAAAACAAGCATGGCACTTGCAAACCAAATTAAAGCAATATGCATCAAAACAACCCAAAGCACTAATCAATCAATTTTAGATATAATCAATCATTCATTCCTGAAATTTAGAAACTCAAAGCAAAGTGCATCAATTTAACACCCCAACCCGGGTAATCCAAACTAATGAGTTAGTGAACCGAGTTGCAATTAATTCGGTATTTACTTGCACAATATTTAAAACAATTAAAAAATTTATCTAAAATATAAGTCTTATTGAAGTACTAAATGTAACAGTGCGAAAGCCTTCAAAGACAACATCATACAACATCCTTGGTACTTAATAAATGAATAGCAAATTAAGTTATTTAAATTAAAACATCTATTCATATTAATTCGGAAAATATTCATAAGTTAATCGAAGTAACAAATCCAAACATTGTGGAATCCTTTAAAAAAATATCACAATCTTTATCGTAATTTTAAGTAAATAATTCCAATAAAATAATTTAATTCAAACAAAGCAGCTTCGGGTCATCCACTTTGCCAAACATCACTTACTGCAGGACTGCTCATCTAATCCATGTTATTCTAACCTGCATGTAGCCAAAAACAATAAAGAATACATGCTCGGTAGAAAGCTGAGTAAGAATATATCTGGCGCTCAAATCACGTTACAAAGTAGTACCACAAACATATACAATCACACATCATACAAATAAGTCGTCACATCATTAACAATCAAGATTCAACCAAGTATATTCACCTTTCCACTACTCTTAACCTACAATGACTAAGACTCATCAATCTAAGCTCTCACGAGGACCCATGCACAAACTCCAAAGATCTCTCAATGGATGGGATTAAGTCCCCCAACTGGCTCTTAGTAGAAGGTTATTGACCTCTGTACGTACGTTTTAACCATCGAGACCATCAGTTGTGCGACAACACCTGCATGACATTAATTTCTAATCTCAATCCTATTTGTGATTTTCAATATTCAATTCAACTGAGATCCGCCATTTTTTACTAATTGGCGTATTTTATCATCACAATTTGTAATTTTCAATATGCCCAGGATACATCAGTAGCAAATACAATTAAGTCCTAAAACATGCACCTATTACAGATTTAACCACATATATGATTCAAGAACAAATTCCAATGAGTTCAACAATCATGCCCTCAACACAATCATTTGATAGAATCTAGACGAATGAAGAATTGTTCTATAAAATAATCATAACGGTAGGTGTATGAACCACAACTCACCTCGATTAATTGAACAACATAAACAATAAATCAAATCAACAGACAGAATAAACCAAGAACAACAGAAACAAAACAAAGCAACAACGTCACTAACATCGAAGTTTTGTATATTATGAGATGAGTACAATAAAGTAAAAATGCACTTTGGAATTTAAAGTGATAAGACGCGTTGGTGTGAACTAAAATATTAATCGAAAAAATGAGTGTCTAGCATCTGAGGAGATGTGAAAGACAATGTTAGATGACCAAGAGCCGAGCCAGGTTAAGAAATTGAAGAGATCATGGTTTGACCAACTAGAAAGGAAGCTAATAGTTGGGTCCAACCTTCTACATACACTCTAAGCTCTAATTCTAAAGGAGTTAGCCGATTACTTCTCAATTTTTGGTTGGGGGCCACAAAGCCGTCAGCTGTCATCTCACACATGTTGGTTGTGAATCCCGAGTGGAAACCTATCAAGCAAAAGAGACAAAATCTGAGCTTGGAGCAAAGGAATTATCCAAGAGAAGCTGAATACTTTGCTAAAGGTCGAACATCTCAAAGAAGCAAAATATTTGACTTGGTTCAACCACGATGTATTGGCACCCAAGGGTGATACATTTCAAATGTGTTTTAACTATATAGACCTCAACAAGGTTTTTTCAATTGATCTTTTCCCATTGCCTAACATCGATAAGCCCATTGCCAAAACATTTTCAATTGATCTTTTCCCATTGCCTAACATCAATAAGCCCATTGCCAAAACAAAATGAGCGACTGAGTGTGAGCGTATGCCTTTTGGTCAAGTGACATTTAGTGCAACATATTTTAAGTAATGCCAATTCGAAATACATTTCAATCAATGTTACTTTCGGGCTGTGTTGAAATTCATTACAACCTTTTGAGGATTGATAATGTGAAGAGAAACTAAAATTGGCTTACAAAAAAAGGCTTAAAGCATTATTCACTTCGATTCAATAATTACGAGAACCAATTATTTATCTCCTTCGCATAAGTTTCAATTACATCTTTTCAACTATGTCAAGAGAACCAATTATTTATCTCCTTCGCATAAGTTTCAATTACATCTTTTCAACTATCTCAATAATCGTGATGATTCCAATATGAGATCTTATTTCAGACAGAGGGAGTATAAAACAACAAGAACGGGGCTTTTAACATGCTAGGGAACCGTAACAATAGTTGTACACTTGTATGGTTGTCTCATGTATAAAAAAAACACAACAAAAGTTGGTGTATAATACGGAGTATAACACACTTTAATAAAAATAATGCTTGGTTTTCAAGCCCTTCATATAGTTCAGAAAGTGAGTCTAAAACCTAAGGTGAACTGGAGTGTAGTGTACAGTGTTCCTAGGTATAACCTCAGTGACTCATACATCCATCATGCACTAATAGAACAGAAGATAAGTTTATCTCAAGCCCAAAATTTTGAGGGAGATGGCGAAAACTGGCCTCAGTGAATAATTTGCAGTGAATGGGAAGAGATCAGTGGCCTAGAGTTTAAAGGAGCCCATCAAGCAGCGGTTGTCCGACATCTGCGTTACTAGTAATGGGTATCTTGTTAGCTTGCCGACCCCTACCAGAAACCAAAACATTTAGATTTAAGTCTGACAATTGTGTTAAGTACTCGCTCTGTCAAGATTTAGCTGTGCACTTTCCAAGATAACTCAAATTTAAAGAAACGGGTGCAAGAAAAACCCTTGAAACTAACTTGCCGTCCTTCATTGATGACATTAATTTTGATATAATATTTAGGACCGTTTTGATAATTCACATTAATTTATTTACCAAATTTGACAACTTGGGAAACTTATTCCGGACGCCCAAAAAGAAGAAGTGGACAATTATAACCAGAGGAAGGAGTATTTCAGTACTTCAGAAAGTTAAAAAAAATGAAGTGCAAAAATTAGTGCAAGGCAGAGGAGAGACCTTACAATAGTGGGGTGGAGCTCTACTGGGGCTGAGTCGTCATCATCAGTATCCTGCATCGTGATAGGCTTCTGTTAACAGTTAATCCTCGGATTAACATAAGTTCCAAATTTTACAGTATATAGTTTGCAAACAAGATACCTCCAGTAGCAGGTCTTTACGCGTAATCAACCCAACGACGCGAGAAGCATGTGGAACAACAAGTATATGCCGTAGTCCCAATTGGCGAAACAGATTATATACCTGCACCAACCATAGCATATATTTCAGGGGTATAAAGGGATAATCATTTGAAAATGATTACTTCACAACTTAATACTGCTTGTGAAAATGATATTCCACGATAACTCGATGCTGTTCTTAATTCTTATCCCATAAATTTTGAGTTGTAGTGGGATAACTATGTAAACATGGAAAACCATTGAAAGAAATGAAGCTATAATATATTCACCTTACTCAACGACATGTCCTCGGGCACAATGTATGGAGAAGGGTTTGTATAAGGAGCCAGGTCAATGAACATTGACATATCATCCTGAGTAAGATGAATATCATCCATAGATAATCCTTTGCTAGAGACGGGTTTCACAAACTCACTGAGATTGTGCCTATTAAGTGAACAATCAACAAACATAAAAATGCTATATGATTAATCAGCACTATCCCGTACAAAAATTGAGAATCCTGTATACCTGATTGGTAAAGAACCATCTCTCACACCACAGGGCAAAGGGTTATGTTGGAAATCAACTTTGGATTGAAGAAGTACCAGTAAATGACTGTGATATGAACAACATTGCATAAATTGTACGTGAAGGCAGCTAAAAACAGAAATCACAGAAAACTGTGTTGACAGCATAGTTTTGAAAGGCAAAAGGCCCCTTTTCAAGCTGAGCTGCATGCAATCAAAAAGCGAATGATCCATGTGCATTGTGCAATGTTACATACACACACACACATACATACATATATGTGTATGTGTGTGTGTGTGTGTGTGTGTATCGTCAACTATTTTTTGGCTTTGGGGTATGATGGAATAAAGCAAAATGACTCTTTAAACTATTTGTGCTTCTTTTGATAGTGAAGTAGCAGCTAGTCAATGCAATTTTCGACGCTTATCATGAGTCATCTGGAAATAGCCGCTCTACGTCTTAACCATATTGGTCAGGTTGCGTACATCCTATCCCCATACCCCGCAATGGGTGGGAGCCTTTGAGGCACTGGGGTAATGTTGTTGTATATAGTCACACACACATAGTGCACACGGAATATAAAATATATAGTAGATACAATGCATTGCATATCTTGAAGTTTTAAACACAGTATAAATGTCAAAGGAAAAGCATATGTTTCAAACTACATCACAAGGTTTAACTGTTCTCCGAAGATATTACATATCACAAAATATAGTACCATTTTCTTATTCGCAAATTCACAAATGGAATTGGTTTTTATTAGCGGGGAACTGTTATAGAAGAAAATATGAATATTAAAATACTATAATGCAAATCAATTAATGAAAAATGAAATTCGGGCAATAAAAGAAATTCTGTAATGATTTATCTGAAAGAAGATAAAAACAAGGCGTCTCTCGCCTCTGCTTCCCCAAGCGCAAGAGGAGGCTTCTCACCTGGGGTGTATGTGGCGAACGCCTTTCACAACTATGGTTGACCACGAAAGATTTATTTACTAAAGACAAAGCGAAGTAGCATACAGAATTCAATCATACCTTCGTAATATGAGTCCAATGACGAGTGTCTCCCCATTCCTTGAATGATCAATAACCTGGGAAAGAGAATGAAAAATTATCCAAGCAATCAGATGAACCCAATATCCAAAGCAGCAACTTGTGTGTTTTTAGGTGCTTACAGGGAAGCCATTATGCCTATTGCTTTGCAAGATTGAAACAATATCTGCCACCTTCACAATACGGGGGAAGTAGACAACCTATATGATATACGAATCAGACCGGTGAGCAAAAACACAGGCTAAAGTTTTCAAGTATAGCCTAAAATTCGTAGTGGAGAAATGTGTGATTAATAGAATAACTTATAATTGTTGGCCAATTAACAAAACATGTTCAGTTTTCAGGTATAGGCTAAAGTTCCTAGTTGAGAAATGTTGAACCATTCATCTTTGTGGAAGTAATTTCATATGATTGAATCCTGAAACACTCAAAGGCATCACATATAGATAAAGATAAAAGAACTTCTAGAACAATCACAACCATAGCTTTTATGCTTTAAGCATCCAACCAGAACAGGCACCGGAATAGAATAAAGTTTACTCAGTCATTTGGCAACTACGAGAGGCTTTTACCTTTTGATTCCTAGAGACCTCCTTTACTGTCATATAATGCATTTGATGCTTTGGTTTCGACTCAAGTAACGGAATGCCTCTTAATTTAGCCTGTTCTTCATAAAGTCCTTCATTGAAGGCATCACCAACAGCCTGCAGATTGTAAAACATTACTTCAATAGACAATGAGAATTCTGGAAATGAATATGACCATAAAGTAAGATTCACACCTTTGAGATGAGCAGAACAAGCATGATCAGAGGCAAAAACTTCAAATTGTTCGAAATTTCGACCATTATGACACAAAGAGACACAGTCATCCGCATTGATCCTCCTAGAAAAGAAGCAGCACCCAACAGAGCATACCTTAAAACATACCGGCAAAAGGCAAGCAAATCAGGAAAGAGTTCTTCATGTTAATAAGTCAAACCATTGTTCAGAAATTTTAATACCTATACAACAAATTGTTTCCATATCCTATTTTCTCATGTCTAGCAAAAATCTAATCCCTATTACCATGTATGCTCCCCCCCCCTAAAAAAACACCCAAAAAAATTGTCCTATCCATCAAAGACGGATTCTGCTGGGGGAGGAGGGGTCATTATAATGATAAGAAGTAAAAGGGCGAGGGCAAAATAACAGTACACAAATTATGTATGCCGGAATCCAACAAAACATGACTTATGAATATTTTTATAGAGAATCAGACATCTTTTCCATCCAAGTGACACGAGAAAAAATCATCTTCCAATCTACATTAGACATGGTTTCGGCTTATTCTGTTGAGCTTGGGAACTTCTTCCTATCTTTGGGCCTAATCTCGTCAAATAAAATTAGTCATAATTTCTACACCGGAACCAGTTATTACTGAGTTCCTACTGACAATGGTCAAGTTTGCCAAATATGGAAACAATGGCATTAACCAGAAAACTGAAAAACACAACAGCAACAAATTGCCAATAAAATCTCACGGGCAAAGTCTGTGGAGGGTAGGTGTATGCAGACCTTACCCCTACCTAAAAAGTAGAGAGGTTGTTTCCAAAAGACCCCCAGCTAGTTGAAGAGAAAAAACACAGGTTAGTAAAGTTCAACAAATGACGGAAAAGGAAATAGATACGAGGGGAGAAAAGAAAAGTTAGCTGCAAAAGAAAACAAAACACACTGGAGCTGGACCCACAAAAAGCACCCCACAAATCCTGACTAGCACTGGTAGCCCTAAACACACAGCTAACCACTCCTACAAAAGTCTACCCTACCACTCTAGTCCTTGATCATAATGTCTAAACGCTACGAAGTAACAAATAGCTAACCATAAAATTGAGCATATGAAAAAGAAATGGACTCACGTTCCTTCTTCAATATCAAGTTTCCTGTAAAATCTAACAACAAACATGCCAATCAGACGCCCATAAGTCGAACCTATCATTATTCCAGGAACAAATTGACCAGCTGGAACAGCAGTGCCAAAAGTCACAACTGCTAACGTGTAAAACATTACCTGAGAAATATGACAATATCAATTTCATAAAGAAAAACATATTGTGCCCTACCCCAACAGCTTATAGAAGATTGTTTGTGCCTCTTCTCATAATACTACTACAACTACTACAAGAAGCCCTGTATAACCCCAACTCTGTTGGGGTCTGGGGTCAAGATCGCAACCTTACCTACGTAACTAATTGAGAGACGGTATCTGTTAGACCCTTTGGTGCATTGCTGCTTTCACCGTTCAAAACTTCATCAAAAGTAAGAAGCAAGGGAATTTTTATGTGTATTCATTCATGTTTATTTAGTACATTATTTACCCAAAGCTAAAATATTGTAAAAAATGATTATCTAGCTCCATTGGCAATGAATGTACAATAAACATACATCAGATTCAGCCATTCAGGTATAGATGATACCATGTTTTCAAAGACAGCAAGTGTAACAACACAGGACAAATATGAAGTATGAACATGATGACAAACATTCAGTCAGAAGTCAATATCCTCAGTTTAATTGTTAGTCAAAAAAGTGGTTTAAAAAAGGCTAAACAAAATGAAGGTTGACATCTACAAAAATGAAATACCAGGGAATCAAAGACGTGATACCAGATAAGTAAGAAGGCTTTGTGCACTGAACTCATGGAGTGTATTTGCACTAAATAAGTTTCTTATAGCATCATCCTGAACCCATGTAACACACAAAGACATCATAAGCTGAAAAGGTCTTATGGCAAGGTAGATACCATCATCTGCATTATGGAGGAAAACAATATGGAGGATATGGAGTAACCTGAGTGTTGAAGAATAAGGTTGCCAGGTCGTTGTACTCATTGTTCTGACAATAGAACTGTGGGTTCAAATGACAAAAAGCATCAGACACACTACCAATACAATATTAAAAAAGAAAAATATGTAAACAGCCACCTAAAAACATCAAGAACTTCAAATACCAGCCCTTATAATATATTTCTAGAAGAAAAATCTGTATTATAATTTTTGATTGATTGGAACCACCAAACACCAAATTCCGCCATAAAACGACATGGTTTTCTTGATTTTTCCTTCACCTTTTTTCCTTTAATTTTTTCGTGACCTGGTGTAGTAGAGATGTTGCAGGAACTTGGAAGCCAGCTTCACAAGTTCATCCAGATGACCAAGTTGAACCCGAGAAACTCAAATCTTGAATCCAGTGATCCAGTCGCCTTTCCTAAAGCAACGGATCTCTCAGTCTCGCAGTCGCAGGTTTGCAGTGCAGTCATAGTCCAGGTATCTATTGAACCAGACTTGCTAAGTTATTGTGGTGGCCACCTTGCTCGTTGAAACTCGAAGTATTGAACGAATGTTGCAATACAATGGAGAGACGAAGTGCAGTTAGCAAGGTCGTTCAGTTGTCAGCAAAGTTGTCATTCTGTCGCCAGCAAATGTAAATTGAAAGGGAAAGGGAGAGGGTAAGTCAGGGAGACCTGATCATATTCTGGCCAGAAATTGGTGTTTGGTTGTTCCAATCAACAAATAATGGCAATGTATGTGATTCTCTTTAAACAAATTAAGGCAGCTATTTGCAAGTCACAATATTACTTTGGTGGCTCTTGACAATTGTTTCTTCAAAATAATACATACTCTAACTAGCATCCAGCCTCAGCATTCAACAAAATGCATAAATAATGTAATTAATAAGAAATAAGATTGTAGCCGAAACAGAGCAGACATGCATTCCCAATGTAAAAGTTCTACTTAAAGCTCACACATGCTACTGCATTATGCATGCTAATTCATGCTACATTGCAACACTGTCAGCATGCAAACCGTGACTAACAATAAAAGCACAAATTCATTTGCTAGATTCAATAATAGTGAATATGATCCTACATTTACGTAATTTCCATACATTCCCGGTGCACGGGGACATTCAATTCCTGTATTGGAATCAAAATCAGGACAAGGAGTGCATCTTCTAAACAATGGTAATCCAAACGAAATAGCTGAAGTTATCAACGAGATGATACAGACTTCAATAATCTGCATGGTAATTCAACAAATTAACAATTAAAAAGTAACAAAACAAGAACTTAACTCATTTTACCACGAATAAATGAAAATAAACTCTACAGCAAAAGACCTACTAAAAGCATAGAGGTCAATACCAACATCAAGAACTTACTTTCACGCGACTGCCTTTTTTGTGCAACTTGTTTCGACGCCAAAGAGTTATAAATAGAGTAAGTTGGTTGAATAATGCTCCTGAAATGGCATGTGCGCAATAAATAAATCTTGAAAGTGCATTCAAATTCAAACATCAATTTACATCAGAGTAATTACCAAGAAGGCCTCCAATTACACCAATAATGGCCATGGGCAGCAATTCGACAACAGAATAGTCATCTTGACCCCTAAGAAAATGCAAGTCCACATTAGGGAGTTGAATTTAATATATTAGTATAGATGATGAAATCAAAATCTGACTCCTAACCCAGAAATGTCCCAGATAATAAAGCCTCCTGAGCCAAAATGACCACACTTTCCACTCCTGCACCAACCCATTGCTGAACGAACAACAACCGCAACCACGGCTGAGGTAAAGAAGACACGCCACATCAGTTGACTCCTCCACCTGCATAAAGAGGACAAACATTAGGTAAAATTGCCTCAAACATACAGAAGAGTGAACAATATGATGGACATAACTGGCTGAATCATCAAATAGAATTTAACTGCATCCAAGCATTTATTGTATAAAACTGAAAAAACCACTAGCAGAACGAGTATAAAGGGCAGTCCGGTGCACAAAGCGTCCACGTGAACGGGTCCGAGGAAGGGTCCCACCACAAGGGTGTAATGTAGGCAAACCTTACACTGCATTTTTGCAAAAGGCTGCTTCCAGGACTCAAACCCGTGACCACATGGTCACACGGCAACAACTCAACCGTTGCGCCAAGGATCCCCTTAGCAGAACAAGTATGACAAAACAAGATTGCCTTTGACAAGTAATAAATGTATTTAAATAATATTGAACAATTATAGTATGACTTCTTTCTCGGTCTTCTGGTTCCATGCCATTGACAGGTTATGCTTAAAGCAACATGCCACGCACGCAGAAAAAGACACATTGATTCATGTGTATGTGACCAACATGGTAACTGATTTTATTTATTATGAGGTGCAACCAAAAGGAAATTATGGTTTCACATTACCAACAAAACATGATAAGAATTCAGAAATACCAAGATGTAACTTCTTCAAGTGCAAAGAGCACACCACCTACTGGAGCTCTAAAAGCTGCTGCAACTCCTGCTGCACATCCACAGGTTACCTTGTCAAAATATTCAACTGAAAGAATGAGCACAATTCAGAGGCAGATACCTCTATAAAAAACAGTGTGCACTGAATAATTGCTCTTCACGATTATAATTAACCGATGAGCAGTGCTAAAAACTTCAAACACACTATGTGTAACACCCGTAGAAAGTGTATAACCTCGATCGCAGATTTACAGTCAGAAAATTGACTTAAAATTATACAATCTAAATTGTAAAACACAAGAATTGCGAAGAAAACAGCCACCAAACCTTTAATAAATAGACAGAAATCAACATTCATTGGATAGTCTTTCCATTCATATTTTGGAAAACTAAGACCAAGTAATTTCCAACCTCGCATCATGCTCTGCTTGTTTTACATAAATAAAAAATTATTTGCTCCAACAATCATTTCTAAAATTTACTCGCCCTCATTGTATCACTTCCTAATGAGAGCTTGATGATTATGGCTCAGTTGGTCATTTTCATGGATGAGGAAACCAGCAGGAATTACATGCATTATCCCACAGCCTGAAGAAAGAGGTCCAGCAGTCATGTCTACAATCGCCTCACTAATCATCATTATTTCACCGAATAATGAGAATCTGATGAATATGCTATATGGCTGATTGGTCAATGCCATGGATGATAAAATCAAAACGAATTACATGTGTTATCCCACCACCAAATGTCAAGCTACTAGCAAACAGAAGAGAGTTCTTATAATCTTATCCGATCCATAATGATAAAATAGACATGTAGTGGGGTGATTGTCTCATTATCATTTCACTAGATAACGCTTATGTAGGTCTATTGGGCCAGTTCTTTGATAAGCCGTGCAGCAGTCATTAGGATGCTGTGAGTTGTTAGGAAAAAACTACACAGGAGAAAGTTCTTATCTGATTGAGGATGATACAAGAGTCATGTAGAGAGGTGATTTGTCTCATTATCATTTCACTAGAAAATGCTTGCGTATGTGTCTTGAGCCAGTTCTTTGATGGGTCATGTGATAAGCTGTCATTTGTTGGGGATAAACAGCTGATCTTATTGATACGATGTTTAACTTACACCTTCATTATCTCTGAATTCTAATGCACTTTTCTCTAGGAAGATGTCAGCTTAAGTGTAATGGGCTAGACACTACTGTTTCTGAACCATGGGGTTTTTATTACTAACCATTTCAATAATAGTTCAACGCTCCCCCTCAAGCTGGAGCATAACATTAAACTTTAGAGCTTTATAATAAAAATTCAATACTTAGTTGAAGATCAAACTGGAAACTTGGAGCTAAACTTTGAAATTTCAACTTGAACTTTGAGTGTCGAAACTTTAGTTTGAAACTTTAACACTTAACTTGCTTCATATGAACTTGATTGATGCCAACTCGAATATCCGGACTTGAACTCCGCCAATTCAACTAATGTAACCTAACCTTATCCAACTTCCCTTACACTTTTACATTTTTTACTCCATCTGTTTTCTTTTTAATCCCCGCATTCTTCTTTTTGGTCTTCTTCGTTGACCTATTCTTGTTAGACGAAGAGTTACAACATCAACTACTTTCTTTACTTTGAAGGTAAAGTGGCAAGCACAAGCTTCATGTGTGACATGCTTTGTAAAACTAATTTCGAAATATTGAAATTACAAGAACTCAATGAAAATTATACACAAGGGTCCCAAGGAGGAAGAGGACTGAACTTGGAATTTTTCCTAAATAAGTTGTCAAAATTGCTATCATGTGCCAGCACATGGGGACATGACCCCATGGTTGGAAGCTGTTGGGCGAATTGAGTGTGGAGGCTCGACCAGGAAGGGCAGCCGGCCCTAGTCTTGGTTCGACCCATATGGCAGTAAATTAGGTTTTTAATTTAGCCGGCCCTAATTCTCTATGTGGGCTTGGGCCTAACTTGGGGATTAAGTTTTCAACCCTAGTTTAGTCTTCATAAATAGGGATCTCTATACTTGTAATTCTGTGAGCACCTGGATAATAAAAACCCTAGTTGCAAAGTGGATTAGGTCAGCCGACCGAACCACTATAAATCTTGTGTTCCGTTTTCTCCGTTTTGATTTCTGTTTTGTGTGTGTTCTTGTTTGGTTGTGGTTTGCTATTCAGTATTCATAGATACCCCAACAACTGGTATCAGAGCCTTAGGCTCGTGATCGTTGAAGTCTTCCCTCGGGTTTGTGGAGATCAGGTTCAAATCGAAGATTAGGGTTTTGAAGGGTTTGAAGATCAGTTCCGCCACCGTCATAGTTTCCGCTGCAGAATACGGTCTGGACTGTCTTGTGAACAGTAATCGCGCCGCTGTTGTGAACAGCCGCTGCTGCTAGGGTTTTGTTTAGCTGCCGCTGCTAGGGTTCCGAATAGCCGCTGCCAAGGTTAGTTCGTTATTGGTTTTTTCAATCTCAGATCAATTTTTCAGCCGTGTATGGAAACAATGGCAGATGAAAAGATAAAGATTGAAAAGTTTGATGGAAGTGATTTTGGGTTTTGGAAGATGCAAATCGAGGATGTTCTTTATCAGAAAGACTTATACCAAACGTTATCGGGAGAAAAGCCAGAAAAGATGAGTGATGCAGATTGGGCGATTTTGGACAGGAATGCTTTGGGAGTGGTTAGGTTGTCATTGGCGAGGAGTGTTGCTTTCAACATAGTCAATGAAACGACTACGCATGGGTTAATGAAAGCTTTGTCGAATATGTACGAGAAACCCTCAGCATTGAACAAGGTGTTTTTGATCAGACAGTTGGTTAACACCAGAATGAGGGAGGGTGCTTCAGTTACCATTCACATCAACCATTTTAATTCGGTCATAACTCGGTTAGGATCAGTTGGAATTAAGTTTGATGATGAACTTCAAGCGTTGCTGCTTTTATCTTCTTTGCCTGACGGTTGGTCTGGAACAGTGACTGCAGTTAGTAGTGCATCTGGTACTACTAAGTTTACTTTTGAAGGAATTCGGGACTTGATTCTAGGTGAAGACATCAGACGCAGAAGTTCAGGGGATTCTTCGAGTGCACTGTTGAGTACTGAAGGCAGAGGAAGAAGGAATGAAAGAGGAAGCAACCGTGGTAGAGGCAAGAGTCAGTCCAAGCATCG